AAAATCACATTGCAGAGAAAGAAGCAAGTAGACAACTAAAAACTACTATAAGCTCTCTTGGAATCCAAAATAGGAGGTTTAAGGTTCAAATCCAAACTCAGTTTGCATGACATAAAAAATTAATAAAAGTGGCAACAAAAAAAAAGGGGGAAGGAAACCAAATCTTTCAGGAAAAACGCCNAATAAATAAAGAAGTAGAACCGCACACAAGTTAATAACAACCTGTTCATATAAACAAATAATTGTTCATTTATCTTTCATGTAGGCTAATAATTACTCAAATAGAGTTCATTTTATCTATTTAAAATTTTATTATTGGTTTGGGTGATGCAACTTGGACCGATCAATCTAAAATACAACCTAATAAATTCAATACTTGATTGGATTTGTGTAAAAAAAATCTCAATTTCATTTGAGTCCTAGNTGTAACTTTGATCTTCACTTCTGTCAAAAGCATTCAATGCCCGAATACAGATTTAAGTTATTGGCAAGGCCATGCTGAAATGGAAAAGAATTGAAAATCAAGTTTTTGAGAAGTCTTAAACTTGAAGAAAAATGAGTTTTATGAAGATCAAAAGGAGACTAGATACACAAATAAAGCATCTCCTTAAATTTCTATAAACAGCAGTTGTAGATCAATTAGACCAAGATATGTGGAAGCGTAGCTGAACTTCTGTTGAATTCTGGTGTGATATTATTGATAAAGGACTGAGCTCAACTAAACTTAAATAAATCCACTCGAAACTGCAGCTGCCAAAACTAGGAAATATATGAACTCGGGTATTATAGAGCTCATGATACAACAAAATTATGTTTTTTTTAACCCAAAGCTTCAATTCTTCCCCACATGAACGAAATATGCGATCCTTCCTACCATCCAGTTGATGCAACCACCCTTTTTCTCTAGTACCAGCACACAAAATTGAAAATTTATCTGAAATCATAGTCTAATGCTGATTTTATTTATATACCTTAATAACATCTTGCTTCCAGAAACCATGATAACAAAAGGTGTAAAGGGAACCTAATCATGCCATAAATACAGGAAACTTCATGAGAGGCCTAATCATCTAAAAACAATGGGAAAAAATAAATCTAAAAAAAAAGGAGTTAAATAATTTTGAAAAAATACAATTGCATGTGGAAAGCCAATCTATCCATAACATGGCATTTTATGTTATAGGCTTATAGCTATAATCCACTGATTATTGGGCTACATGTTTCTAGCCATAGGTAATGTACCTCTTTCCTCTACAATTTTGCTCTCAATGCACAGCTGCATCAGTTGGGTTGAAGAACAACATGCTGAAAACCACAGGACCAGAAGAAATTAGATTTCATAGCACGAAAAGCTCATTTTGAGGACAATCTTTTACGACAACATCATAACAACTTTAGGGATGAATGACGATAAGGAAAAAGGAGGGAGGGAGACTTATCAAAAACATAAAGGAGTTCACATTCGTACCATAATTTGTCTTAAACTTCACAATATAAGGCCATTACCTTAATCTGTGTTCTGTTATAAGTGTAAGTAATGTGAACTAATCCATCACCGGCTTGAATTACAGCTGGATAAGAGAACTCCATTCCCATAGTCTCCTCTAATGTCAAAACATCATCCCATGAGTCTCCGTCATCTGTTGAGAGGGCGACTTTGAGCACACCCCTGGAGACTGTATTGTAAGCAAGTAAGAGACGGCCATCCTTCAGCTTAACCCCATCAATGCCTGTTAATGCAACAGAGTTTGAGCCAGCAGGATCACAGGAAAAAAGCTCTTGCATGGGATATATTTTATTCTATAGGAATCCCTTCTGTCAGTTTCTCCTAACAAAGTAATAGCATCCACATAATTCACTAACAGTAAATTATACACTCAAGAATTCCATGGGAAAACGAAATGGACTCACCCAGAATATTTAAGACACACATGTCCACCATTTACTAGATATCCAAATAATTCTTTTTAATGCAGACAATTTGATTTCAATCATGACCTGAATTTGGGTTGGGCAGTTCAGTAGGTTTTGCAAAACTCCAGCTTTGGCCACCATCAAGAGATTCTGACATACAAACTCTGTCAATGCCATTGAAGGATCTCAACAGAACACGCAAGGTCCCAGTCGCAGTCCGGTAAGGAACCGGTTGAATCACGCTAAGGGATTCGTTTTGAATATATATAGGTCCATACTTTTTCCATGTTTTTCCTGAATCTGCAGTGATCTGTTTTTGAGTTACAAAAATAAAGTCAACCATCCACTTTATTTGATTTTATAGCCTCCTTTTGAACTTTGCTAGCATACAAACAGCTTAATGTAGTTGGTTTACTGCACCTCCATCCATGCACCCCATGAGTTCCAACTTTCCACTGAAGATCCACAGAGCAATTGACCATTTCCCAGCAAAATAGGCTGACGAATATAATGCGGCACAAATAAGACAACTCAAGGCATATAGGGGTTTACACATTTAAAATTTGCCTTTTTTGGGACATGCTTACCTTATTCTTAATCGGTCCTAATATGCCGGGAGGAAGCTGTTCCCTTTCCGTCCAAGTATTACCTCCATCAAAGGACCGCTTCATACATCCACTCCATCTAAAGTTCACCAAACCCTCAGTGAGTGATGACAAGGAAACATAGGCCAGGTTATGTGGTATGTCAGTTTTCATGGTTCAAAAAAACTACAAAGAGCAACTCATACTTTCTTTTTTGTTTTCATTAATATCTTTATTTTTTCTCTACTTAACTTCAAATATTTGTCGAACCATTTGTGTAACACTCAGAATGCCTGTGTTGTATCTGACCTATGTCAGTTGTGCAAGTGTGAAGTTCTTGCTGTTTAAACGCTTAGCAATAGCTCTGAAAAGCCATGTGGATAAGTTGGAGAGCCAAGGTGGATTGGCACTGATTATGTTTTAGAATCGGTGGGATACGAACGAGCATTTTGCTTTATGTATGACTGGGTAAAAGTTTATTTTTCCTGGAGATATGATGTCAATTCTTATAAAATAATCAACATATCTGCTATAGTTGAAATTAAGGCATGAGACTCGTGCAAAGCTTCATAAAAGTCATTAGCAGTTTATCTTATAGATCAAGCCATTGCAAACTACTCGTTGCATTCTCACCACTAGAATCAAATAAACAATCTTTATGACACACAAAAATTATCTAGATAAAAAGATAGTAAAGTAATCTGACGTCTATGAAGTTCCCAATCAATTTCCTTGATACTCCCAAGACATTGTTACCATTTTGCTTGGGACATCTATAACATGGCATGCTGGCACAAACAAATTCATGGATAATGTATATTTGAAAGACAGAGCAAAAAGGAAATTGACAATGGGTCCAATCATTGTATCCTAAGTCCTCATTGCGTATTTGAACCTAACAGAGTATGAATATCAGTCAATTATGTGACACATAAACCAAGCACCAAGACAAACAGAAACTATGGAATTGAATAAAACGTTGAAGATACTACTACACAAAGTTAGATTCACAAAAAATGCAACTATTAAGAACCAGAAGAAGATAGACAGACATTGAAACATTACTTTTGAACCTCTTGCCCGATTTTATAAAACAGAAGCAACTCATTGGATGGAAGCTTAAATAACGCAGGATTCCACATTGGAACATTGTCTTGTTCATCAGCAATTATTGGAGAGTGCCAATAGCCATCCTGTACAAATAATTACCACAACCGTGAGTTAACGAATTGTTCTAGGAGTTCCTGCCAGTGAAACAAAAAACTAAATAACAAGCAGGTATATGGATAAAAGTTTGTGGGTAAATCCAGAACTCATCTCAATTGAAAAGAGCCATAATCTTTTGTCATTAGTGTCTGCCTGGTTAGCAAGAAGCCAAGAACAATAACATAAACAGTGGCAAATTGATATCTTCAAGAAAGGTGCACACTGTGCAGTACAAAAACCAAGTGTACATACTAATGAATGGGGAAAAGCCAGTTCATGCTGATACGACCAATGGTTACTTTCTGTACCTCATTTATCCCTCCCACAGTCCTCAATTAACAAGGACCCACAAATTTTTAGTTCATCAACAACACATGCTGGAGAGAAGAAAAGCATTAGGGTGTCAATTAATGCATAAGCCTAACATTAGAATATGGCATTACCTTGTAAGTCTGCAACCAAATTTTTACATCAGGTGCTCCCTCCGCTGAACCCCCAAAATAAGCAACCAAAAAATGATCTTGATCGACCTGCACAAGCCACAAATCAGCTACAATTTAATTGAACAGTTGATCTTAGATGCATATGTTAACATTACAGTTAGATGCAAAAACCTCCACTATGGTAGAAGCATGACAGCTATTGAAGGGAGCCGAATTTATAGCAAAAGTGAACTCCTCTATCAATGGCCCCCATGTGAAATTATCCTTCTTCATTTCTGAACACCCGTCTACGCAAGTGGTGGTGTTTGTATATGCTCCCCGTACCTCACTGCGTGGAATATATGACACATTTTCAGGTACTTTGAGTGAAACTCAGGCAATAACAAGCCAAAGTGTGTGAACTTGTGTTCATGAGAGAGACGAAACAAACCTTACAAAAACTAGAAATTCTGGCAGCAAAAATCCAAAGAACCATTTTAATTATCAGCGACTATCAATTCTTGTAAAGGATTATGTTGATAATCTTTTGTCAACACTCAAATGTCCTAATCTAACCTTGGTAACCTGTAGGTCTTATCTCAGTGATCATAAATACAAGGGACTCTCTCACTCTCAACTTTCAAGAGAGCAAAACTTTTTCAAGTAGCTCTTATCTGGTGTCAGGTTGTCCTCCGCCTCAAGTCTACCTTATTCCAATGACCTCTTCCTCTACAGTTGTCAACTCTTCCAACTCTTGTTAATCAATTTTAAATTAACCCATTCACTGCTAACTTCAACCATCATCTGCCCATCAAGATTGATCACAGTAAATTCACTTACTGGTGATCCCAAATAATCCCCGCTCTTCAAGGCCATGAATTTGAAGGATATGCTAATAGTAGTTTGCTGTGTCCTGCTCACACTACCAATCGAACTTTGTCAACCCTTTCTAGTGATAAAAATGACAGCTGTATTGCTTATCCTACATCAATCCTGCTTACAGAGCTTGGCAAAAGCAGAATTGACTTCTACTAAGTTGGATTTCTCTCCTTCAACTAAAAGGGTTTGGGCCCAGTTTCTGGGTCGTACCAATTCTTGTGCTGTTTGGGTCTCATTGGAGTGTGTGTTTGCATCTCAGTCACTTGCACTAAGTATGTTTGTATGCCTTCAGCTTCAAACCACAAAGAAATAGTCCCAAACCATGACTGATTGCCTTCACAAAATGCAGACAATCGCTAATAACCTTGCTGCTGCAACCGAAGGTTTCTTATGATGTTCTCATTCTTTATATCCTGGCTGTCTCAGGGCCAGAGTACCACTCTTTTGCCGTATCAGTCCAACCACCAATATAAATATTTGAAGCAATAACAGACCTATTAGAAACTTCAGAAATCATACTTTCCGGAAAAAAAAAAAAAAAAAAAACTCCAGAAACCTTTGTATGTCCCTCCTCATTTCTTTTAATCCTAAGCTATTTAACAATATGTTCCATAATTCAGATGACAGGGTGTGATCATACCATGTTAACAAATGTTTTGGATAAAAAAAAAAACTACATACTCAAAAGCTAGTAACTTACCTCCTCTCAAGAAGCAAGTGAACCGGGCGAAGCAAGCTATGCGTATGCATTGTAACAATAAAATTGAGTGATTTATGGGTATGGTTCATTCTGCTTCCAAACCCAGAAAAAGGGTTGTGCAAATAGGAAAATTTAAAGAATGGACACAGAATCAACAAAGGCAACAACAAAAACAGTACCATCACCATGCCTGAACCGAATTTCCTCATTTATATGAAATAACCAATGAAAAAGGGTTTCTTCTTTTCACAAGTTCGTGTAACTAAAAGACTTGCAATAATCAATACCAGAATATATGAAAGGAAAAAGAAGAAGGGCAGTACCTGTTGCAATCAAGATGATATAAGAAAGAAAATGCACGAAAATTATGGGTCTCTCTTTGAACCTGCTCAAACAAATCAAAGATTTGTCATTGCTATTATAATAATACTAACTATGCTTTGTTAATGCTTACCCACTCTTATCTTTACCAAAATATGTCGGAAGGAAGCGCAAAACAAGGTGCAGTCAAATGATGACATGAGAGAGAAAATGCAAGAAAATCGTGGGTTTGTATTTGTATCTGTTGAAACAATATAAAATTTAATTGATGTAGTTGTTTTCTACTTACTATATTGTGTTTACGCATACACCGATGCGCTACATGGTTGACTAATATCCAAGTGGAGAGAGAGAGAGAGAAACCCCATCACCCATCTCCGAATAAAGCCTTGGAAGTTGGATCTTCTTTCTAAATGTTCTAGGATTATAATTTTTTTATGCTAAAATTGTTGTGATTTTTGTTATTTGAAGTTGAGATCGCTTTAAATTTTATTTTAAAGTTAACATGACGGCTAATGTTAATACCCTAAATTTAATAAAAAAAATAAGTTTTTCTAATAGTGTGTTTGGAGTGATTTTTAAAAATTGGTCCTTTAACTTTTAAAAAGTAGTTTTAAAAATTATTTCTCATAAATACTTAAAAAAAATAGTATTTAAAACCGTCCCACCACCATGCCACTGTCGTCGCCACTACCACCACCGTCGTCATCACCACCACTACCGTCACAGCCATCGTCATCGTCGTCTCCATCATAGCCACCGCCACCACGGTCATTATCACTCACAACAACCATCACCGTCTCCTACCACTACCACTGTTGTCCATCATCTCTCACCTCCACTATAAATCGATGCTTAAATTTCTTTATTTATTCTCTATGTTTGTGATTTGATTTTAGATATGAATACAAATATGTTTATTATTTATTATTTTTTATTATTTTGTGTCTTCATTGTTTGTGATTTGATTTTAGATATGAATACAAATATGTTTATTATTTTTTATTTTTTATTATTTTGTGCCTTCAGGCACAAACAATAACTAGTTAATTCTATATATGACTATAATAGGTCCTCTAACTTTTTTTATGGAAAGTATTTGTCAAATTAAACTAAACTTGACTAATCTTTACAATTAATCTTCGCAAATATGACATTAACTAGTATTGGCCCGTGCAACGCGCGAAAATTGCACACATCCCTCTCTCCCTTCCTTGTCCAACTTTCCTTTCCCCCTTTTTTTTTTTGTCATCATACCATTTAAAAAATTAAATATAAAACTATTAAAAAAATTAGGGTGGTAAAATAATTATTTTAAGTCATGGTGGTGAAACTATGTTTCTAAAAAAATTAAATTAGTGGCTTATTTTTTAAAAATATTTGAATGAATGATAGTTAATTAGTGAGTAGATGGATAGTTATATAAAGACATGTGCTAGAATATAGTTAATTAAATGATAATTAAATAATTAAAAATTATTTTAAAAAAAAAAGTAAAAGGGGAGGCTTTTCAAGTCACCTCCCACTTGATTGTTTTATATAATATAAACAAATAGATGGTTCCTTTATTAAAATTAACTGACCCAAGTTGATTAAAAATTAAAATTTGTAAGTTGAGAAGATTAAATCCAAAAAATAAGATGTTTCTTGATCTAATCTGTATAATTTAAAATTTTAAATGATTTGATGCGTGGACCGATTGTTTGGGTAATGCAACTTGGACTAATCAATCTAATACAACCTAATATATTCAACACTTGGTTGGATTTGTGCAAAAAAAAAATCTCAATTTCATTTGAATTCTATCCGTATTAGGGTTGGGATATCGGATTGTTGTCGCCCAACTCAAATTTCAAACAATTATGTATCACACCCAACTTGAACATGAATTTTAATCTAATTTAGGGCTTGGATAATACCCAGGCTTAAGAGGTCAGGTGATTAAATTTGAGTTCAAATTCACTGGAGTTGGACATTTTATAGTTAACCAATTTGTATGATAAATTTATCATTGATAAATACTATAATCTCAATATAGATAATATATTTTTAATCGAATCAGAAAACAGATTAATTGAGTTGTGTGTAAACTAACCAAATATCCCGACCGTTGAAACACCAACAAAAAAAAAAAAAGAAACAAAGGGCGTGTTTAAATTGTATCCCAAAACATAATATTCGAAAATAACTTTGAAAACAAAATTCAATTTTGTAAAACCAAATCTAATAACTCCGAGGCTAGTTCAAGTGGTAATGTAAAGGAGTTGTAAATTTAGACTTCCTGATTTCTAATCTTCACAATCTCCTAGTTCTGACACACCTTTTTTTCAAAAAAGAAAAGAATTACACTTAGACCATTTGATATTTGTCACTTAATCAGTCAGACCCCCTGAGTTTTATACGTGCATAACACTTAGTAAATTATATTCAGACCCCTTAAAGTTTATAGGCATATAATATTTAAACCCCTAAAGTTTAAAATGTTATACTTAAACAAAAAATACTCCAATAAAAAATAGAATAACAAATATTTTTAAATAGTTAATTGCACTGGAGGTTCCTAAAGTATGTGATTTTTCTCATTTTGGTTCTCAATATTTCAATTGCATTATTTTGGTCCCTAAAGTATTGAATATCTATATAATAAAGTACAATACAATTCAAATCTTAAAAGACAAACAAAATGACTTTTGTTTTACGGTTGAGATATCTTAAAAAAAAAATTTAAAATTAATCCGATGACTAATATTAACACCCTAAATTTAATAGGAAAAATAGGGACCTAAAAGTATGTTCAAAATGACTTTTTAAAAGTGCTTATGTAACTTATATTTCTCATAAGTAATTTAAAATAAAAGTGTTTGGAACTACCCTAACACCACCACCACCCCCACTACCCCCACTGCCCCACCACCATTACCACTACCACCACCACCATAATTACTTCTACCTCCACCATCACCACCACCACCATCACAACTACCACCACCACTACCACCCCTGTCAAGACAACCACCACCACTGTTGTAAGACCCCATATTAAAATTAAATAAATATACTATTACTTTAATAGTTCTCCTAAGACGAATAAAAGGATTGTAAAAACTCTGAATCATTGATAAAAGATTGATCATGAAGTTTGAGTTTCGAATTAATTGACTTTCGCGTCAAACTTAATTTTGAAGGTGTTTAAGCTTAAGAATAATGATTAGGTAGGTTTTTATATATTTTTAGGACAAAATAAGGTTTCCATTGGATCTGCAAGGTCGAGAAAACTTGAAAGAGGTAATATGGGGTATATTAGAAGTTAGAAAGTATTCCGGAGTAAAAACACATTTTAGAAAGGATTTGCATAAGAAGGAATTTGATACTACCTTAGTATTTTAGCCATGAATTTTTACTCATAACTCCAATTGATATGATTTTTGGACAGTAGAAACTAAGACTTTAAGGGCTACAAAAAATGTATTTCACGAAAAATTCCTGAATCGACTTCTAAATAAGTAAAAACTACTCTGGAAGTCAAGGCGGAAAGTTAGCACCGTCTGGACACTCCTCCATTCCCTAAAATCTTATTTTTCAACCAAAACAGTGAGTTTGCATTGTTGGGATGCCTAAGTATCATCCGAACGCTACGCTAAAAATGACCCCACTTTGTTTTAGAGTTTTTCTCCGTTTCACTGTATAAATACCATAAGGACTTCCTTTTAGCAATGTTTCATCAGTTTTCAACCCTAGGCAACCTAAGAGAGCAAGAGGGAAAAAAGAAAAACATAAAATTGAAGAGGGATTCTCATGTTGGAAACGAATCCAACATGCTAGGACTATATTCAAACATCAGATTGAGGTAGAGGATTCTTCTTAAGTTCTTTCATTGAGACTTAGGGTATTATATATGTATGTTTTTAATCTTCTGGATAGTTATATGATAAATACTTAGGAGTTTTTGGTTTCTTTACCACTGAAACTTACTTTTTAACAAAATACAGGTTTGAGTTCAAGGAATACTTGTTCTTGAATTTTCAAAATCCTAATTTTGCTAAATACATGTTTGGTTATGAAAAATACATGGATTCTTGATTTTCTAAATTCTTATTTTTGATTAAATCATGTTTTCATTTAATATTTGTTCTTGTTTCAAGAAATTATGATTTTCGACAAAACCCTAGAATTTTGATATCAAATTTTGAAGATTTTTTTGATATGATCTCTTGCATATTTTAATTCCTTTATTACTGTAGTATATTGAGAATTGTGCAATTGTAATACTTGAATTGTTAATGAAAATTGTA